TATTATTTTTTGACATTTAGATAAACACAATGATTGAGAGGACAGCCATTAAAAATATTGGTTTCACGTGTTGGATATTTTTCACTATCGATTATTTTGAAAGTTATGAAGTATGTAATAATTAATAGATTTTTAATAGATTTTTAATAAATATTTGTCAATATATATATATATTGATATTTTATTTAAAAAACTATTATTAATTATATTTTCTAATATATATTATTATTATTATTATTATTATTATTATTATTATTATTATTATTATTATCTTTGTATATCACGGTTGTTCCGGTGTGATCACAGTTGTGTCGGCCACTTTTGGTGGCAGAGACACGACTGGTTAGACTCAACTCAAGTCTAGTACTTTTCTGACTGTTCTACAACTCTGAAGTATCACTGCTTTTTGCATTTCATAGATCTTAGTTTTTCTGATTTCCAGTGATTCCAAACTTAGGGCCAGATTTTTCGGTATTACGGCCATTGATGACAGGATTATAGGTATGATTTCAACTTTCTTAATGCGCCACATCTTATTGATCTCATAGGCCAAGTCTGTATATTTTCGGCGTTTCTCACTATGCGTGTCCTGTAGTTTGTGTGTTAGTGGGACCGCTATGTCAATTATGTATGCCTTATCTTGATGTTTGTCTACTAGTACTATATCTGGGCGGTTGTGGGCCACAGTCTTATCTGTTCTTATTTCTTTATCCCAGTAGATCTTGGCTCTGTTGCTTTCCATTACACTTTGTGGCTCGTATCTATAGTATGGTAATGGTTCTTTGATTAGTCCGAATCTTATTGCCAATTCCTGATGTATGATTTTGGCTACTTGGTTGTGACGGCTTAGGTACTCGGTGTATATGTGAGTACTTTACACCCGTTTAGTATATGTTCTATTGTTTCGGACTCCATATGACACATCCTGCACTTGTCTGTTGGTATATTTAGCTTTTGGATGTATTTCTGATGGTTTCGTGTCGGAATCACTCGATCTTGTATTGCCATCATGAACCCCTCTGTCTCTCCATGAAGACCGGCGTACTTCAACCATTTTGTAGACATTTCTTCGTCTACGTGTGTTTGGTTGAGTTCTGCTCTGTATCTACCGTGGAGTTCTTTTGAGGCCCATGTGTTAATCCTCTCTTTTTCATTTTGTATTTCTATTTGATGTTCATTATTGCTGAGATTTAGAGGTGTGTAGTTGTAATCAAGTGTTGATGTTATTTTGTGGAGCTCTGAGACATTGCATTTTTGTTGATGGTATTTTCTCAGCAATTCTCGCTGTTTGGCTTCAAGGCTTACAATGTTTAGTAACCCTCTACCCCCATGCTTTCTACTAACACACAGTCGTGCTACAGAACTTCTAGGGTGGTGTAGTCCAAACATTGTAAGTTGTCGCCTTATATGTCTTTCAATGGTCTCAAGTTCTGTTTTACTCCATTTTATTATTCCGAACGAGTATGTCAGTACAGGTATAGCCCAAGTGTTTATGGCTTTGAATTTGTTGTTTGAGTTTAATTGAGATTTTAGTATTTTTATTATTCTTTGGTTTAATGTTTTCTTTATTTCTTCTTTAACTTCTGTCATTTTAGATTTATGCATTTGCTTAATTCCTAAGTACTTATATATATCTCCATTTTCTAGTGCCTTTATATATCCATTTTCAGTTTCGTATTGATTTCTTTCAGAATAGACTCCTCTTTTCAGTTTCATTATAGCACATTTATCTAATCCGAATTCCATATTTATATCATTGGAGAAAGTTTCTGTTGTTTTTAGCATTGCATTTAAATCAGATTCTTTTTCGGCGTATAGTTTTAAGTCGTCCATATATAGTAGATGTGTTAGATTATATTTTGTATCACTTGATTTTAGATTTACGCCTTTTAGCTTTTTAAGTAGTGATGACAGTGGGTTTATGGCTAAGCAGAACCACAGAGGACTGAGTGAATCTCCTTGAAATATTCCTCTATTTATTTTGATTTCTGTACTTATTTTTGTTCCATTATTTGTATTGACACACAATTTAGTATTCCATTTTTTCATCATATTTTCTAATGTGTTTATCAGTGTGTTGTCAATTTTATATAGTTTTAACACTCTTAATAACCATTTATGAGGGACTGAATCGAATGCTTTCTTATAGTCTATGTATGCCATTTCAAGATTTCTATGTTTTTGACGAGCTCTTATTGTTATGATATTGTCTATTGTTAATTGCTCTTTACAGCCCATTGAGTGTTTTATACAGCCTTTTTGTTCTTCAGCTATTATGTTGTTGTTACTTAAATGATTATATATTTTAGTTGATATTATGGATGTTAGGATTTTATACATTGTTGTTAGACAAGTGATTGGTCTATATTTGCTGGGATCTGATGTATTTTCTGTTTTTGGGAGTAGATATGTTATTCCGGAAGTGAGGAAGTCATCGGTTTGTCCTGTTTGTATTATTTTATTCATTGCTATTGCCATTGGTTGATGAACTGTTGTAAAGTGTTTATACCAGAAATTATTATTATTATTATTATTATTATTATTATTATTATTATTATTATTATTATTATTATTTAATACAGATTCTCTCAATAGTAGCAGTGTTATTTTTGAAAATTGTCGAAATGAATGTATTATAATTATATACTATATATATATATATATATATATATATATATATATATATATATATATATATATATGTAATATAATAACATATATATAGTATAGATATATCACTACAAAACACAATAGTAATTATGTATACATTAACCAAATTACTATTATTATTATTGTTTTATATCAGCATCAATTTGACCCGGGGCAAATTATTATTATTATTATCACCACAAAAAAGTACAACCCACCCTAAAATCCAATATAACCCATCCTAAATATAACCCTTATATTAATATATATATTTATATATATTATATGTGTAAATAATTACTAAAGCATTTAGTTCATATATAACTTACACATATTTTTTTTAGTGATTAAATATATTTTTTAAAAATAAGTAGATATACTGTATATATATATAAGCAATTGATTGAAAACTGATTATTAATGGCAAATGTTTTTTGTTTATTCACATAAACAAATATTATTTTAAAAAGATAGTCACATATTATAGCCAAATATAAGCACATATTTCGCATATATATAGCTATAATATAATGTAAAATAATAGCTAAGATTACATTTTTCTAATATATGTATTATTGGGTTCAATATTTTACAATAAATAACTAGTATTTTATGTTTTATGCAATAATTTATTATACTGTATATTATTACTATTTGTTAATTTTTGTTACAAATACTGTAACATAATATTTACTGTATATATGTTTTCTAAAATCTAACTAATTTTTAATGTCTACTAAAAAAACAATAGGATTTAATGATTTATTTTAAATTGATTTTTAATTAATACTAACAGTTTAAAAGTTTTATAATTTATGTATTTAAGTATTAATAAGAGAAAAATATACTAAAATATTAATTTATTATTATTAATTGTAACACAATTTTTAAATTGTTATTTATTATAATCACATATTTTGACTGTAAAATAATTATAACCACATATTTTGACTATTTTAACAAAATATAAACACATATTTTCATGTTTTTAAGCAAATTTTTTTAATTCAATAAAACACTAATTTTAATTATATATATATCTAAAGTTACTAATAATTACATATATAATAAATTTAATATTTTTATTTTGTATATTATTTTGTTTATTGTATGTAATTTTTATGATATTATTTCTAAATTTAATATTATAATTTTAGACACATGTGTATATAGTATATTACATTATTATTTATATGATTAAAATTGCAAAATATTAGCATTAAATAATAATTAAAATAAATTTTATTCTGTATTTTTTTTATATATAACAATATCCAATAGTTTTAATAACTTTATATATCTGTATATAAAGAATATGTATATATTATTTAAATATATTTTTTAAAAAAAAGTTTAATTATTAATATAAATTGCATTATAAAATGAATATATGTACTAATTATAAATTATTTATATTAATATAATTTATTATTATAAATTAACAATATGCACAGTATTATACTGTATTATAAAGTTTTTATAACTAAAATAATAAATAGCGGTCATAACTATCATAGCTTTAATATTATAACCTAACCTAACCTAAACAAACAATATTGTAATGAATATTATATCGTTTTTTTTATTTTATTTATTTTTTTATTGTTAGTTATAATATTGATTACACTATTTACTGGAATTTACTTTAACTTTAATATATTAAGTAATTTATTTGTGAAAAA